CTTCACCAAGCATCATTGTCCCCTCCAGTCATCTGTGCTTTTTCTTCCTACACTGAGAACAGTGCAGCTGTGTAACCTTCCTAAGTGCTACTTACTTTGATTGCAAGGCCATTCATTTCAACATTTTCAGCTCTGGGCCACACATTTTGCTATGCCAGAATAAGGCATAAGACATAGTCCCTTCACTCAGAGAAATCATAATCAAGAGAGAATTAAAAGAGAATATAACTAAAGGATAGTAAGCTCTATGAAAGGTATAAGAACTTCATGGGATCAAGGACCCCCAATAGCACCAGTGTACCTCTAGTTGTGCCCCCAGTGTCTAGCTTGGTGCCTGGCACATTTTGGGACTTTATAATATTTGGAGAGAGGTAGAGCTAGAGAGAGGAAAATGATTAAGAAGAGGGAAAAAAGAAATAAAACAAAAAAGGACAGAGTCTGTCATCTCATGGGGGGTGGGGGGGGGAATGTGCTGTTTATCAGTCTAGTCCTTTTGCTCACAAGTTCACCTAGCTATGAGTGTCAGTCTGGCTACTTAAAGTATACATTTTCATAATTTGAACCAGAACTCCATTTTTTAGTAGATGGGTTTTATAGCTGTGCACTCAGTAAAGCTCTTAAAGATATCACAAAAATAGCAAGATCTCCCTGTTTTGGTTATCAGTGAAAATGTAGCATATGCTCTGGGCCATTTTACACTGATCCCGTAAGTTGCTGTCTGGTCACCATGGGCTATGGAAATGTGAAATCCATGCCTAGATGAGTCAACAAGTGAGATTACTTGAAAAGCTGTCATTTAAGTGTAAGCCTTTTCTCCTTCCAATTTTGGTTGCTCAAAATGTGATTTCATATCCAAAAATGAAATTGAGGAGCAACACATTATCTGAATATTTCATGCCAGAATTACCCAAACACTTTTGTTCTTTGAATACTGGTAATTCAAGACTGGGTAATTGAAGGGTTTAGGGAGGATTGAGTTATACTAATATTATTCAGATAAATACCTCAAGTTAACACTTGGTATAGACTCCACTCTAATCATGCTGGGTTTTGTCCTATGGAAAGAGTACTCTTTAGCATTTTTGACCACAGCACCCCTCGTATTAAAGCAGAAGTGCCCCACCAAAGTGTAAACTGTATTATCCTTACACCACAACCTAATAAGCCTTGTTTTTAGCTTTTTATTTTATTTATTTTAAATTTAATTTTTTGTCAAAATGATGTAGATACTGGGCTATTCCGGTGGTGCACTGCTATAGTGCGCCACTTGGGAAGCGCGGTAGCGCTCCCACTGAGGGTTTTTAGCTTTTTATTTTATTTATTTTAAATTTAATTTTTTGTCAAAATGATGTAGATACTGGGCCATTCCGGTGGTGCACTGCTATAGTGCGCCACTTGGGAAGCGCGGTAGCACTCCCGCTGAGGGTTTGGATCCCACATACAGACCGGTTCCCGCTCACTGGCTGAGTGAGGCGCAGGAGCAACACCGAGGGTTGCGATCCCGTTGCCAGTCCCGGTCCGGTGCGGGGGTGACACTGAGGGTTGCAATCCGTTGCCGGACACGGAAAAAGACAAAAAAAAAAAAAATGATGTAGATACATATAATAGTGATACAAGCATTATAACAGAGCTAGCTGTCCCCTATGCCCAACCTACCCAGTTACCTATTCCCACTCCTCTGAGTCAACCACTACCTTTTCTATCAGATGTTTTCTCTAGCATTCTCTATTTCTAAATAACATGCTCATACAGATTTTCAATTTCAGATATTATCCCTATTATCTATTAGCATCCTAATATAAAGGATCAAAATAACGATAGCACTCATAAACACTTATAGTGCACTTACAGCATTCCAGAGAATATTCCAGGCACTTTACACATTTATTATTTTAATCTTCACAATGACACTATGTGGCAGATACTATTATTATCCAAACTTTGCATATTGGAAACAGGCATAGAATGATTATGTGTCTTGCCCACAGTTACACAGTAAGGATGGTAATAAATTGTGGAGCCAGGATTTGAGCTCAGTCTGTCTGTCTCCAAAGTCCATGTTTTCAACAATTTTTCAACAAATTTGCCTAGCTCTATTTTATCACCCAACAGTGTGGGTGTGCACGCACACACAACACATCCTCTTCCCCCATCAGTATAGTTTTATCATCACTCTTTGGAATGAAATCAGTATTCTGTGTTTATTATTAGTATGGCTATGTAAAATGTTAAGCACCATGGATTCATGAGGTGTGCTGATTACATTTGTTTTCTCATACAACTTAGTTTCCCCTGGAAATTTTAATTTTGATTTTTTAGTATTCAATTCATTTCTGAACATTCTGCTGAAGACAACAACCACCTTTCAGTACATTCAGAAAACTTGGGTGTTGCTCCAATTTTCTATGTTCATGGAGCCCCCCTCTTCTCCTGCCCCTGTCTGCACTGCTGCCATCTGGCACTGCCACACAGCTCTCGTGCTGGAGTCTCCCATCTGCATCATCCTGGGAATTCTTTTTGCTTTTCTCCCATGTGGACTGTTTTCTGAACCTGTCTCTTCCTTTTTTTGGCTTATTCTTGTGCTTTATTAAACACATTTTCCCACCCAAGAAAGGTGAATAGGTGCTAAATTTTTTGAGACCTTGCATGTCTGAAGATATTTTCAATTTACTGGATTAGGAATGTTTGGCTGGGTATAGAATTCTGGTGGGAAATTATTTTCTCTCAGAATATTGAACACATTTTTTCATTTTCTTTTGCCTCCAATGTCTCTGTGGAGAAATCCCATTTCTGTCTGATTGCTGATCCCTTGGAAGTTTTTATGATCATTGCTTTATCCTCAATATTTTTTTTTTTTTTGTCTTTTTGTCTTTTTCCGTGTCTGGCAACGGATCGCAACCCTCAGTGTTGCCCCCGTACTGGACCGAGGACCGGCAACAGGATTGCAACCCTCGCCGTTGCCCCCGCGCCTCGCTCAGCCAGTGAGCGGAAACCGGTCTGTATGTGGGATCCGAACCCTCAGGCGGGAGCGCCGCCACGCTTCCCAAGCGGCGCACTTATCCAGTGCGCCACCGGGCCGGCCCCTATCCTCAATATTTTGATCTCTTGTTGCTTTACCATGATGCACATCTGTTTTCATTTCTGGGATATGGGTATACAGCAGGCTTTTCCAATCTGGAGCCTCACATGCTTTGATTCTGGGAAATATACAATTTCTTTGACAATTTTCTTTCCTCCAATTTCTATGTTCACTCTTTTTGGATATCCTGTTATTCTAACACTGGACATACTGAACTGATCCTCAGATTTTCTAACTATTCTTCCCCCTTTATTCATGCTTTTGCTTTTTCTAGTTTGACTTTCTAGGATATTTACTGGCATTTACCTTCCAAACTCACTATTGAATTTTTATTTCTGCTATAATAACATTAATTTCCAATACATTTTATTGGTTTTCTCTTGGTTCCTTTTTATAGCATTTTATTTGCAAATCTTGTTTAAATTTTTATCAAATATAAATACAAATATATTTCCCTATCTTACATTCTTTTTACAATAAAGGTGTCATACTATACACACAGTTTGGCTTTTTGCTTTTTTTCACCTAACACGTTGAAGGTCTTTATGTATTAGTATATAAAGAGCTTCTTCATTCTTTTACATGATTACTGTCATCTTCATAAGTACAAGGCAATTCCTGCATCCTTCAGTTGAAATCAGTTCATTGGGTTCCCTGGCTGTAGGCCTAGGTTTCTGCTTTTTCTGCTTTGCTAAATTAATTTCAAATGTCTATCCACCTTCCCATTTCTGAAATATGATTGGCATTTTGTTTGTTATCATCTCCTCTTCCATTGGTCTTATTCACATAGGTTATGCCTTTTTAAAATTTATTTACTTTCATTTTAGTGTTTTTTCACAAGAAAGGAAATAAATGTATTTATTCCATCCACTATGTTTAATTAGAAGTCCCTAGAACATCTTTTGACCAACTAGGTTTTTCTTTTACCTTCTTCCCTTTCTTGCCCATGGACAACTCTCTAAAGTTTTATTTAGAGGGATAAATAGAAATAAGAATTATAACTTTCAGAGGATGGTGATCACATATTTACTAGAACATTGAGAATTGGCTATGTGGTCTTTGTGAGCAAGCAGGATTTTGAGACTATAAAACCACACTTAGGGTTTTCCTGCATCCAAATGTGTCCTCATGTTAGCAGGAATCACTCCAGAAATAGTTTGATTCTGTCTTGTGTAGCAACAAGAAGGAATTTAGTAATACGTAGGTTTGCCTACCCTCAAGAGATAGCTCCACTCTGAAAGCTTTTATACCTAGAGTGAGACTAATATCTTACAAAAATGAATGTGCCTACCCAGGGGAAAATTCATTTAAAAAACAAAGCTGTTCCAAGTCTTGAGGTTGTCCTCTTTTTCCACAAACTTACTAGGTGTCAGGTACTGAGAGGAAAACAGCGTTATGGTTCCCTAGTTTCTACTTTTTCCCATAGATTTACCTGCCTGTGGTCTTCCAACATGATACTACTCAGTAATCGCACACCCAAAGAAAAAGATTCTTCTTTAAACTTTTAAGACTCAAGCTTATTGGAGAATAAAAAGTATCATGAGTGGATTTATGTAAATAAAATACAAATATCTTTTGTTTCCACTGCACCAGCAGTACTATATTTCCTATCTTGCTTGATTCTGACAAAATTCCCTCAACTATAGAGAGTGCCCGTATTCCAATCAACATGATTGAGAAATTATTTCCAGAGCCAAATTAAAAAGTGTTCAGTAAGTGTCTGTTATTACATAACTATTGCTTTTATTGTTTAAAGAGTGGTTTATATGAAAAGAGAATAATTTGCCTATTGGAATGAAGTGTTCTTCAGTGTGGTTTGTGTGAGAATAATTTCCATTTTTGGTGAGCTGTATAGTGGTGGTGTCTTGTAACTTGACTATAGTTTTATCTAATTTTGGCCTGTGGTTTCTCTTCTGCTTAGGCATAATGACATCAATAGAAAAATGAAGAAATCCTACAGCATAAAGCACATTGCTGAGCCAGAGTCAAAAGAACTCTTCTTGTGAATCTCACTGAGATAATAAATAATGACCTTTGGATACCATTGGAAATTACTGGACTATCGTCTATGGAAATAGAACCATGAAAACAAAGCCTCACCAGCAGAAGAACAGAATATCAGGATGCCTTAACTTTATAGTGTTAGACTATGTAAGATACATTTTTGAGTGATACCTGTATATAGAACTTGTTTTTAAAGAGATGCTGTCTAAAAGCATGATGCAAATGTGTGTTTTTTAACATTGGATTGATTCGACCTACCCACAGGACATTCACCAGGCTGCTGACACAACTTTGTATTTTATCCATTGCATGAATATTTGCTAATGTTGGTTGAACTTCCCTTCCATATAACATGGCCAGTTTGAGCTCAACTCCATCAAGGGACCAGATCAGTGGCATTTTCTGTCAAGATTGTTTTTCTGTCATTTCTACTTTTTGTATAAAGGAAATAAAATAATGTTAACAGCCACCCAGAAGCTTGGGGCACCTACCTTCTAATAAATCTGTGATGCTCTGATTTCTAAGGGACTTGGAAAATATTTTTCTTGCTATTTGATTTCAGGAACAAACTGTCAGTTTAACTGTTTTCCCATAAGAGTCAAATAAAACATTCTATATAGCATTGAGTACTAAAGGATCAGACAAGTATATAAAATAAGTCCATTTTTTCTGCCCTCTCAAATCTCAGTGTTGACATGAGAAAATATTAATGACAACTAAGGATTTAACTCCTTCTTGGGTCACTTTTTTCTGCCCCTAACACATTATGAGGCCTGTCTAATCCCTTTAGGAGACAGTGTGGAGCCTGAGTTCATAACAGGCCTATTGTTGAGGCAACTCAATCCACGTACGCAGTAAGTTCCAGAAGGTTCCGTTCTATCATGTAAAAATATATTTCTGTTGAAACTTCAAGAGTTTTATTTTCAAAGTGTTGGCATGGCCTATAAGAGGCCTGTCAAGTTTTAGTTCGAAAGTAGAATGTGTTCTTGCCAGCAGGAGGGAGCAATATATGCTATTACAGTCACTAGCAATGTAACTGCAGTCCAGTGTGGACCACTTTGTATCCTGGTGCACAAAGCAGGCCATATTACTGAATCTGGAGTTAATCTTTCAAATGCAGGTCATTGACAAACTGGGGCTAGATGAGATGCAATTAGGTATAGAAGCAGCAGCTAATATCTGAGTGCCTTTTACATACCAGGCACTATTATGTGGTGAGATTACTACTCCCATTTTATAGATTAGAGAATTATACTTTGTAAATTTTAAGTCCCATATCCAAGGTAACTACTAGTAAATAGCAGATTAGGCTTTGGTACAAGTTTGCTCATTATCCCCACTACACTTTCAGTCCTACACGATGCTATCTCCTTATTGCATTGACCACTAAACTAGCACAGAGGAAGCAGGAGTCCTGGTGTTGACCCTACTTCTAGATAACTCTTTAGGGGCAGAGGACATTGCTTCCTTGAGAAATCTGGAAAAGGACAATACTAGCTACATGCACATCGCAGAGGTAGTTCCTTCCAACCTACAGGGCAATATGTGTATGAATTTCAGTCAGTTTGCCCTGTCCTCATTTGGGTCCTGTGAGTTACTGTTATATCCTGGTGCTGTGTGTGGTTCTGCATTTCTCACATTGTCTTTTCCTCAGATGCGATGCCCTATCTCTGATTTTATGCACATCGCAGAGGTAGTTCCTTCCAACCTACAGGGCAATATGTGTATGAATTTCAGTCAATTTGCCCTGTCCTCATTTGGGTCCTGTGAGTTACTGTTATATCCTGGTGCTGTGTGTGGTTCTACATTTCTCACATTGTCTTTTCCTCAGATGCGATGCCCTATCTCTGATTTCGGGTACCTTGGCCTCATCTGCCCTCTTTGATTGCTGCCTCCCATTTCACTGCTCTGTCTATTGTGTGAGGTTCTAATAGAGAATATGTGGCAAATACATGTGAAATGTAGATGCCTGTGTTTTCTGCTTGGGGCAGAGGAGACAGTGGAGCTACACAGTGAGCCAGCCTTTGGGACTTGGCCCAAAATAAGGCCTGCAAAGAAAAAGGATCCAGAGAGTGCTGTCTCTGTCCCCCAGAGTTTCCAGTTTGTTCTTAAGCTGTGTTTTCAAATGTGAAAAATAAAGAGGGCTGGGCATTCCACAGAGATTTTATAAGCCAGACAGAGTTCCCAGTTAAACATGGCAAAGAAAGTTTCAAGAGCTTGAAAGAAAGAGATGCTACTTTGACCTGAGAAAATCCAGCAGTTCAATAGTTTAGTGACACTAGCATTTTAGATCCCACAGTACTAAGTACAGGAGCGCAAAGAATAAGAAAGGTAAAATAGGAAAGCTGAGCAGATTCAAATCAGCCAGACAGCAAGACAATGCATTCTATGTTTAATGATGTTGCTGGGACACTACAAAATGCTGCTGACCTTTAAATCATACACATATGTATCTTTGCTGTCCATGTTCTTCATGATAGGGATAGATTGTGGTTGCTTGAAATTAGTAGAAGTGATGTTTTCCTTACCACAAATGTAGTTTTGTGCAGCATTTTTTAAGCGAAAACACAAATTCTTTTATATTTCTATAGAAATTGAGAAACATTTACATGTTAAAGAAAGATTGGATGTGTTTCTTTAGTAAGCAGAGCTTTGGGGCCCCTGCCCCAACTCCCTCCCGCTGGGCCAGTGAAATGAGTCAAGCTCTATCTGCATGCCTAATTACACACAGCAGAGGAGGGGACACAGCTCCACGGGAAAAAACAGTCACATCTGTCAGCGTCTTTTAAAGACTGGCTTCTTTTATATCACTAAAGGGAATTACATTGCCAAAGATCAACACATCAAATTAAGAATGTTTCTTAGAAAAGATAACAAAATACCAAACCATCACCACATTGAATGGATTGAATTCCCATGATTTGTTCTTGTAAAACAGTGTCAAGATTTCAACCCTAAAAAGAAAGTTCTAGATGTGCATCATGGAGTTGGGATGGAGGGTAGGGGACACAGCTCCACGGGGAAAAAACAGTCACATCTGTCAGCGTCTTTTAAAGACTGGCTTCTTTTATATCACTAAAGGGAATTACATTGCCAAAGATCAACACATCAAATTAAGAATGTTTCTTAGAAAAGATAACAAAATACCAAACCATCACCACATTGAATGGATTGAATTCCCATGATTTGTTCTTGTAAAACAGTGTCAAGATTTCAACCCTAAAAAGAAAGTTCTAGATGTGCATCATGGAGTTGGGATGGAGGGTGGGGAATGAGATTCTCAAAGGACATCTTTAAGTAAGATTTTTTTGGTGTTCTCAAAGTGAATATCAAGAGCAATATGATGGCACAGGCTAGAGGAAATAACTATAAAACAAATATTTAAATAATTCTCTAATAGACTTCTTGGTACAAATTGGGTTAAATACTTTTTCTTCAGTGGCAGCCTCTATGCTTAATGTTGAGTTAAGTTAATAGCGCTACATATGCATAAGGAATTCATCACAACAGGGTTGGTTGGGACCATTTTCCCCCATAAAGATGGAATTCACGCTGTCTCCAGCCCATGACTCTCATTTGTTAATAGGTCTGTCTTTAGGTCCTGTGTTATTTCTGATGTTATTTCCCTTTACTCTTTATCTATTGCATAGTTTTATATAAATTTTTAAGCACTTGATTTCTGTCTTCTAATGAGAACACAAGTTTGTTAATCACAACAGAATCTTTGTATCACCTCTCATAGATGATGTTAGTAAATATCTAATAATTTTTTCCACAGCCTTATATCCATCTTCCTTGTCTTCTCATTTCTTTCCCTTTCTTCTTCTTTCCTCCCTTTCTCATCCTCTTTTCTCTCTCTCTCTCTTTCTCCCTTTTCCCTTCTCTCCCATACTCTCTCTCCTTCCTCTGTACTATCGTCTTCCCTCCCTTTTTTTTCCCTCTCTTCTCTGCCCTCTTCACGAGATCTCTGTATTAGTTTGTTTTCTGTTGCTCATAATGGATTACCTGAAACTGGGTAATTTGTAAAGAAACAAAATATATTTCTTACAGTTTTGGAGGCTGAGAAGTCCAAGGTCCAGGGCGGGCATCTAGTGAGGGCCTTCTTCTGGGTGGGAACCGTCCACAGGGTCCCACAGCATCACAGAGCATCTCAGGGCAAGACAACAGCAGCAGCAAGAGTGCTCTCATATGTTTCTTATAAAGCCACTAGTTGGGCCAGCCCGTGGCTCACTCGGGAGAGTGCGGTGCTGATAACACCAAAGCCACGGGTTCGGATCCCATATAGGGATGGCCGGTTAGCTCACTTGGGAGAGCATGGTGCTGACAACACCAAGTCACGGGTTAAGATCCCCTTACAGGTCATCTTTAAAAAAAAAAAATAAAGCCACTAGTCCACACCCATGATGACTCTTTACTCCATGAATGGATTAATCCATTACGAGAGCATAGTCCTCAGAATCCAGTCACCTCTCAAAGACCTCACCTTTCAAATATCATAATTGGATTTTCCATCCTCAACACTATTACAGCAGGGATTAAGTTTCCAACACATGAACTTTTGGGGAACATATTTGACCCATAGCAATCTCTAAAGCCTATAATACGATCTTTCTTTGAAGAAGCCTGGCAAAGGAATTGCAGTAAGTAGAAATGTGCTGGACCCAGGTTTGCGATAAATAGTAAGTCACCTCTCCCTTCTTGCCAGAGCATGTAAGTAGAAAAAGCATCCTTTTACATGCTGATATGAGGTTACTTCAGGAAGTTTGTGGAAAAATAGAATTAAAAGATAATACAAATCTTTCCTTGAACTTTTTGAAGAACCTTTGTATTTTCAACAAACTGAGATTGAGCCCAAAAGAATGAAGCCCTAAGCTAGGCACTCTGCTTGAATAGAAAAGACCTGGAAGTTAGTATCAGCCATACTAGAGGCATACAAGTATAGATAACTCTACCAAATTGTGCATTCAGAGAGATTGGTGGGAAGGTATTATAATTGGCTTATAGCAGTGGTTCTCAAACTTTGCTGCAAATTAGAATCACCTGGAGAAGCTTTTAAAAATCTGATGCCCCAGCTGAACCTCCCCCCGAAAAATCCAACTCTCTGGGGTAGAACCCAGGCATCAGTACAAGTAAAATTCCCCGAGGATTCCAATGTACAACCAAGTTTGAAACCAGTGCCTCAGTAACTCAAAATGTGTTCAGGGACTGTCAGCATGGGCATCAATGCGGAACGTGTTAAAAATGCAGAATCTTATGTCACTCACTGTGGCCTCCATTTTCAATTTTGTGATTCTGTGAACTGTCTGTTGAGACAATATTTGAGAATTGTTTGCCATAAAAAGACTGTCCTTCAGGAGTGTTGTAGCCCTAAACCTGGGTAGGGTGTGGAGAAGAGACTATTAGGTGTTTTAGGAGAGTGTGTATAATGTATGTATAGTTTGAAAATCATATTCAGTATTCTAATTTTATGTGGGAAATTTTTTAAATTGTATAATTATAGAAAGTGATGCTTCTTTTCTGGGGAGGATAGGT